GTTAGTTTGGTGAGCCACAACGTCTTGCTGTCAGTCAATGGCTACGCTCGCGTCAAAGACTGAAGATCACGGTCCAGGACGGGCGTGGCAACTTTGGCTGACTTGATCTGATTGGGCAGGAATACAGTCTACTACCCAATGGTGGAGTCTCCATCTCCGTGCTGAGAAAAGGCGTTCAGGTAAGACAACGCCCCATTCAAAGTTAGTGGTGACTGCACATTCTATTTTACATAAAATTTCCATTCCCTGAAGATGATTACTCTAACCTCAAAAATCGCATAAACATAATTTTAGGGAAAGTAAAAATCTCATGATATTTTCAAAGGTCATGTTATTTTATTATATATTTATTTTATTGTTTTATTTCTGTATTGCATTGTATTCTTGCCAGAAAAGTCCAGTGCAGAAATATAATAAAAACATTCTAACATAAAACACTACATAAAATCAACTAAGCTTATTTTGAAGAAGAAAGAAGTAAATAAATGGCCAGAGGATCCTGCTCTTGTCATGAAATAAACTAATTTGCTTTTCAAAATAAAATCTTAATTCTTACGTATTATTACTTCCTTGTAAATGTCTTATATTTTCCATTTTATAAAAAAGCCTAATGGTTTTTATATTGAAAGATTTTTCCATAAAATTTCCTGTTGCTGAGAAAAATTCAGGTGTTTTTTTTCTTCTTCTAAACATTATAGATGCCCCACCACCCACATGGGAACAGCTTGAGAATGGATTAGTTGCTGTACGGACTGTGGTACATGGATTGGTTGATTACATTCAGAATCACAGCAAAAAAGGAGCTGATCAGCAACAGGTATAGTATATAGCAGAGGTCCCCAACCCCTAATCTGGTGCCGGGCTACAGCCTGTTCAGAACTGGGCTGTGGAAGTGGTGGACGAGCACAGTGTGTGCACGCACGGAAAACTGCATTTGTGAAAGCGGTATGCATGTGCACGAAACCATCCCCTTTCCACCACCACCACTACAGCCAGTCCACCAAGCAGGAAGGGTTCGAGACCGCCAGTTTATAGTGCAGAGCTTGGAAAAGATGCACAAGGAGTTCCTTTCTGAACTAAAACAGTTGTTTATTCTTTCCTATTGTATGTAAGATAGCAAATTGCCACAAGGGATAATAGATTTTAGGTATTCTTTGAAGCCAAAATCAGTCAACAGTTTTCTGTGAGGTTAGGGGACTATATTATTACATCCCTCTAAAATATTCACGCTATTAAATGATATGATTAAGTTTTCTTTTTAAATTATCTATTGTATCAGTACATAAAGGATGATCTTGTGCATGTTTATATGAACAGAACTGGTATTTTATTTATATAATATGATTTTGATGACAATTTCAGTCATAAATCCTATTCACTCATAGTCATTCATACTATTTTTAACAAAGATACCTTTCCGTATTTTTTCTTGAGATTTTTTTTCCCTGTTTATTTTGGAGAATTATTTTCCAAATAGTCTTTTGTGTTCTTTTATCTAATTTAGCCACCTCAGCACAGCAAGTACAAGACATATATGTGTCGAGATATGAAGCAGAGAAGAGAATGCCCCCGTGGGGCCAGCTGCACATTTGCACACTCACAGGAAGAACTAGAAAAGTAAGTTCCATGTCTTTGTTCTACTTCTACCTTAAAATATGGGCTCAAAGTGGGAAGCATTCAGTTCAATTTGAGTCATCCTTAGGGGATCAGAATAGTAAAACCTTTGATCATTCAAACAAAAACTGGGAAACAGCAGTTTATAAGTCATACAGTAGCTTTTTATTAATATATTCATCTGGATGCATCAACCTTAAGAGATTTTTTAAAATTCTAATTAGGAATTGCTGGTATTATAAGCAAAAAAAGTAACTTTTTAAAGTTGACCTACAAGAATAGGTAAGTATTACTATGGCTGTATTCTTTTAGAAGAAATTATAAAAAATATTTAATTGAACTCCTATTTTAATTATTAAAATATTATTAAAGATGAATTTATTTCACGAATGAAGGCAGATATACATATCCCAAGATAATGTTGCAGGATCCAATTAGGGTCGGTCACCGGAGCCAGAGGTTTAGTCTTCCGAGCTTTCGGACTGGTCTTGGATCCCACCCTCATGGAACTTCTCTCTCACCAGAATGTGTGCTTTGGGCTATTCTATGCATAGTATTTATGTGGTGCCTGTGTCATGGTTCCGACAGACAGAGTCGAATAAAGCAGAACTCCAAGGCCTGAAAATTCATCAAAGAACATGTTTATTAGTTACAAAGTATCAGCACGGTCAAGAGTGAAACCAAGTCTGGATACACAAGTAACAATTTTCCAATACAAAGTTAAATGATCCACCCATAAAACTATGCAAGCAGCTACGTTCCCCAGTATGATTATTTGGCGGGCTTTTTATGCAATGCCCAGTCCCTAGTTTCGGGAGCAGCCGATGACCTTGGTTCCCATGGGACAAAAGATTATTTCGACTAGCAAAGCATTTGGGCAACCTCCCTCCCTCCGTTCTGTGTGGCAACCTAGAATGAGAAGGAAAATGGCTGCAGCCATGCTCATTTGTAGAGTTGACAGCCTGTTATGTGTGACTTTTTAGTTGTTGATTAGGGTGCTGGTGGCTGGTTATTAAGTCGTTGCTGTTGTTTCCTTGTACTTCCAAATCCTTGGCTCCTAAGAACCTAATAAGCTGGTGGTAAATCAGCACTTCCATTTACTGATAAGGGGCCCATTTCTCAGGTTTCAATCATTTCCCCAGATATTCAGGAAGCCAAGGACTGGATCCTTAATTTATTTCACTTGGGGTAAGCAGTGAAATATTCAGCATCTTTACATTTGAGGATGAAACTATCATAGAAATTTGAGTTGGGAAGAGATGTTTTTGAGCAAGTGTGGTCTCCCTTGAAAGCAGCTACAAAAAATTATCTTGCCTATTTTGAACAGTTTTGGATTTTTTCTTAATCTTCTTGCTTTTTTACAATTTGTGAACATATGATTTTATTTTACATCCTATCCCCATTTTTAATGTTTTCTCTTATGACATGACTCTGTGTATTTGTTGATAATTTTAAAAAAATACAAAATGAGATGAGGTCTGCAGATGTATTTCATCTTCATTTATTGCAGGATTTCCTATTTAGAAATAACACAGTTGAAAAAACTGACAATAATTAATAACCCAAGAGTTTGGAATCCTGGTGAATAGCAACTTTTGTTCCCTTTGGGGTGAAAAGGATTGCCACAGATGAACTAAAGGATAGTCTTCAGTTTGGATTGGGATAGGCCCTCAGCTAACAACTGGTGAAATTCAATTAATCATGGGAACATGGAGTGCTGGGGTTGCTGTTGCTAAGTGATGCCATGTTTTACAACATTGTATAGCAATAGAAATTCCAATCCCAATTACCATTGTAATTCGAGGCTACCTGTATTTAGCTGTATGAAATCTGCATGTATTTATAATATTTGTAAATATTAGGCCTGAGTTAAAATGTATCCTGTTGCAACTGTAACAATTCTGTTTTCTTTTGTTGATTGATTGCCATATTTCTTCTTGAAGATTTCGCAAGATGAACAAACGTCTAGTTCCTCGAAGACCTTTGAGTGCCTCCTTAGGTCAACTAAATGAAGTGGGCCTACCAGCAGCAGCTATTATCTCAGATGAAGCAACAGTGGACTTACCCAATAGAAAACCTTCTACCTTGCCAAATGGGATTGTTTCACCAGGCAGTGCAGTGACACAACTTATCTCTCGTGGGACCGACTCCAGTTATGACTCAGTCATGAAACCTGGGAAGATGGATCACCATAGTAGCAGTGCCCCTGGATCACCTCCTGATTTGTATGCTTCTATATTGTTTATCTCTTAGAATTTGACAATATAAATTAGCTTGCAGAAGAGTAATCCACACATGCTTCCACATGCCAAAATTGTATGTACTCAAAATATAGAGTATATACTTCTGTATTAATTTCTCATGGCAACTTGATATATACAACTTTTTCCATCTGTAAGTCATTTTTTTCAGAATCAAAGCGTAGGGCAGAGTTCCCCAGCCTTTCCGGATTTGCAGACTGGTGGGGGAGAGGAGCTCATTCCGCATGAGTGGCTAGCAAACACAAACATGCACATACACAGCAACAACAAAATAATATCCATACTAAGTTGTAATTGCTCCAACATTGTGTTTGTTTCATCTAGGCTGGAACCTGTTTCCAAGAGCTCTCACCCAATGCCCCCCCGAGGACCTACAGACTTGCCTCCAATTTCTGTGGGCAAGCAGCTCCAAATAGTTCCTCGAGGCTCCCAGTTGTATCCAGCTCAGCAAACCGATATGTTCTATCCAGATCCTCGAGGAGCAGCTCCCCCATTCGAGCCTCCACCCTATCAAGCAGGTAAATTCCATCTAAATGAAATTTGGTCTTGAAATAAAATGTTATTTTTTTTCCTTTCTGTGATTGAATAGTAAATATTGATTAAATTTTATCATCAGAATATGATGCTTTCCACAGATCTTTTATGACAGATGTAGTTTACAAAAATGAATGTATGTCTTCAGATGTGAATGGGGGAAAAAATTATTTTGTTTCGTGCAAACTCTGAAGTAGCTAAAACAATTCACTAAATATTGTTCTGAATCTTGTTTCGTATATTTAGGTGTATATTATCCTCCAGCTCAATCACTACAGTGTATGTCTCGATTTGTCCGACCTCCATCATCTGTTCCTGAACCAGGACCTCCTTTTGTAGAACAACATTATGCACCCTATCTCCAAGATCGCATCATGAACTCACAATACAGCGCACAACCACAGCAATACCCTCCAATGAGTCAACCTGTATATCCTCCTCATTATGACAGCAGACGTGTGTATCCTGCTGCTCAGCCATACCAACGGGAAGATATTATCCGAGGAAGTCCTGTTCCGATTGAAATTTCTCCACCTACTGTATCACCATATGTACCTGAAACAAGAGACAGATATCAACAGGTGGAGGGCTACTATCCAGTTGGACCACATCTGAATCAGATTAGACCTTCATATCATAGAGTATGATATATATTTTTAATTTTATGATTATGGTAATAGTAATGTGTCATGTTTAGTTTTAATTCTTGCAGTAATTGAATGTGTCAGACCTGCCCCAGTCTACTCTCTCAGGAAAGTAAGACTCGTGACTCCATTTGGTTGAAGCAGAGGAACTTTTACTGAAAGAAACTAATTGCAGCAAATTCAGGCAGAATCTGGTGTTCCCGTGCAAAATAGAAAGCTATTCTTTTCCTTTCCCACTCCCTTCCCCCATGACCGGTCCCCTGACCAGCCAATGCGATGCCCATAAGGTATTTTGAGAAACTCTGAGGTGCCAAACTGGTAACATTTCATTCTCAGGGCAAACAGCTTTGAAGATCCTGGTACAAGGCGGTTTAGTGGAAATCTGATCTTCTTCCATTGTCACTCCCCCTCCGTATCACCCATGTTTGAAGTTACAGCAATAGCACCCAATAGACCCCCTCCCTCCCCCAATTCTTAATGGCAGGACACCAGCAAGGCGCAAGCCAGTGATGGTTGATCTGACAGACTGCTGTCCCATTTTACAGGTAGACGGCTTCATTAAGGCCCATAAATTAGCCAAGCAAGCCTAACTCAGGGCAATGTATATTCTGAGTTTAGATTTTAAAATCTATCAAAATAACAAATATTGCAAGAAAAGCCAAGTTGTGCACATTTCATAAATGCAAATTTAAATTTATCTTTGTTTTTTATAATTAATTTTGCTTCTGAAAGGAATGAGGGAGGTTCAAGGCATTGAAAAACTATAATTGATTGTTGTAAAACAAGAAATGGGACATAATTGTATTTCTTCTCCTCTCAAATTCTAGAACAGAATTCCAGTTTGCACTAATAGCAGAAATTATTCCATAATGACCTACGGCAGCATTCCCCAACCTTTTTGCGTTGGCCGCCTGGCATGGGGGGAAAGGGGGGATGGTTTTGTATGAGGAGCAGGTACATACATGCACATAGCTTCATTTGTGTGAGTGGTGGGCGCACAGTCGCCCGCTGGCACCTGCTGCTTGCACAAATGGGGCTCGAGCACCAGTGCCCGCTGCTCACATGAATAGGGCCGCCCACAAGTTGGAGACTCCTGACCTAAGGAATAGCCTAAGGAAACACTTCTATTTTTTGTTCTTTTAGAGCATGGGTGTCAAACTCGTCATGTGACGTGTCGCTACATATTGCGACTCTTTTTGCATTGCCGGCAATGGGGTGGGCGTGGCTTTGGTATGATGAAACTGGCCCGTTTGACACCCCTGTTTTAGAGGATTTTTTACAAATCTTTGCTGAAGTCATCCATTCACAGATACACAAACCAGACAGATAGATAGTATTTCTGATGTGTAGTAATGAATAAGGACAACTATAGAGTGGTTGGCATATGTTGTTTTGGGACATTCCAGAGTTTAGAGAGACAAACTGACTGGATATCTCTGAAAGGCCAGTGTGGGTTTTAAATATCTGGATAGCCTGTAGATGGCAGGATAAATTGCAGCCCAGGTTACTGTATTCTAATGTCTGCAGACAATGAACTGCTAACTGCTGTGGTCTCCTACCTTCCTCAAAGCCACACTCAGCAGACTATAAATATCTATTTTAGATTGTTCATATTTATGCTTTCTGATTGTATAACAGTGTTAATGAAACAAGATAGTTTCTTATACTATATATGTGGCTTTGGTGACCTTTGGTTTGTTCACTAAGTATAATCTGGTGAAGACTCTAGTCAGATGTTCATGGAAAACCAGTATCACTGATTAGAAAGCACATTAATACATTTTGCATAATAACTTTTAACAGATTATCAGATTCCAAACCTGGAAGTGTATCATTTGGATTGTAGTAGTATTCCGTTTCTTCAGTCACAAAAAGGTGGTTAATTTGCTATGTTTACATTTAAAAATGTATAATTTAATTATAAAATGTGATATTTAAATCTTAACATTAATTTTGTGGAAATTTAAGGTAGCATTCCTAATTTTCTTCAAAATGTTATTGAGCAGAATAGTTTTGTCCTTTTGCCTTATGAAATTGCTAATTACTCAACAGACATTAATGAATCTAAGAAACTTGTATTGAAATAATTTTGCTGCTTTGCTAGAGTATCTTATAACTTTGGGATTGTAGACTTAAGTTCATTTGTAGAATACATGAATCTTTATATCTGCATTTTTCTTTCTTTCATTTCTTTTTCAGGAACCTTATAGTCGGGCTCCCCCTCAGCCACACCCTAGTCTAGATGAATTGCATCGAAGGCGAAAGGAGATTATGGCTCAACTGGAAGAAAGGAAGGTCATCTCCCCACCACCATTTGCATCATCACCAACCCTGCCTCATTCTTTACACACTGATGAGGTAAACATATGCTTAAAACAATTTAATAGAGAATATGGCACATGTACACTGTGGTTGAAAAAAATATGAGAAATTTGTCCTAAAAAGAAAAATGTAAATGATCAGTTTGAAGAATATTCTGCCATGATCTAAGTCCCATTATATCATGTAAAAGAAAAAGGCTGGTCTAGTCCTACAGTGAGAGAAAATTATTTGATCCCCTGCTGATTTTGTACATTTGCCCACTGACAAAGAAATGACCAGTCTATAATTTTAATGTTAGGTTTATTTTAACAGTGAGAGACAAAATAACAACAAAAATCCAGAAAAACGCATTTCAAAAAAGTTATAAATTGATTTGCATTTTAATATCTCAATTAGCATTCTTAGAATACCCTTAATGATGAACTCATGCTTATTAAGCTTAAATATATATAGTGCTAAGAAAATTTTGTGAATCTTTTAGAAGAATCCATAATCCTGCAGACATAATGAGTAGAATTCACTGTGTTTATTGGAAAAATGTATGTGAAGTCTAGGTTAACCAACTCTCTTAAGGGATAAGTTAAATCAGGTGTTCCAGTCACTGAGATGATCATCAGATGCTGAGTTTGAGGGGCTCTTCCCATTAAAATATTGTTGGCAGGCACCATCAGTCTGCATTTCATGATCGATGGTTGTGGAAATGAATCATGTCCCATTCAAAACAGATTTCTGCAGACCTCAGAAAAAGAATTATCGATGTTTACAAGGCTGGTAAGGGCTTCAAATCCAACTGCCAAAGACTTTGGACTCATCAGTTCACAATCAGAAAGATAGTACCGTATTTTCCGGCGTATAAGACGACTTTCTAAACCCTGAAAATCTTCTCAAAAGTCGGGGGTCGTCTTATACGCCCAGTCGTGTTATACGCCGAAAAATACGGGTATTCTATTTTATTCCTTTATATAAGCTGAGGACGCGATGGGGGTGGTGGCCGGGAGCCGCTGCCTCCCGTCCTGCTCCCCCTCCCTGGACACGATGGGGGTGGCGGCCGGGAGCTGTTGCCTCCCGTCCTGCTGCCCCTCCCCGCCTGTTCAGCTGAGGACACGGGGGTGGCGGCCGGGAGCCGCCACCTCCCATCCTGTTCCCCCTCCCCGCCCATTCGGCTGAGGACGCGGTGGCCAGGCTGGGGGCGGCGTGGACTCCCGACGATGCTGCAGTGGCCGCTGCCGTGCCGCCACTGGAGCCGCTGCCTCCCGTCCTGCTCCCCCTCCCCGCCCATTCGGCGCCGTCTGCCTTTCATTCTCTCTCTCTCTCTCTCTCTCTCTCTCTCTCTCTCTCTCTCTCTCTCTCTCTCTCTCTCTCTCTCTCTCTCCTAACCTGGAGGGAGAGGGAGAGAGAGAAAGAGGAAAGAAAGAGAAGAGAAAGAGAGGAAAGAGAAAGAGAGGAAAGAGAAGAGAAAGAAAGAGGAAAGAGAGAGAAAGTTAGAGGAAAGAGAAAGGAAGAGAAAGAAGAGAGGAAAGAGAAAGAGAAAGAAGAGAGGAAAGAGGAAAGAGAGGGAGAGGAAAGAGAAAAAGAGGAAAGGGAGAGGAGAGGAAAGAGAGAGAAAGAGGAAAGAAAGAAGGGGAGAGGAAAGAGAAAATGAGGAAAGAGAAAAAAGATTGAGAAAAGAGGAAAGAGAGAAAGGAAAGAGAAGAGAAAGAGGAAAGAGAAAGGAAAGAGGAAAGAGAGACAGAAAGAGAGGAAAGAGAGAAAGGAAAGAGAGAAAGAGGAAAGAAAGAAAGAGAGAGGAAAGAAAGGAAAGAGAGGAAAGAGAGAGAGAGAGAGACCCTTTTGACATCTAAAATGAAGATAACACTGCATATATCCTTTTTTACCTTTATTTTATATATACACACACAAACATACACACACACACACACACACATATATATCATAAAGGTAAAAAAGTCTATATGCAGTCTTATCTTCCTTTTAGATATCAAAAGGGTTTTGCGGCTCCCAGTGTTTTGTTTTCGGTGGGAAACGTGTCCAAGTGGCTCTTTGAGTGTTTTGGGTTGCCTACCCCTGATATAGCCCAAACTCTATATTTTAACTGGAAAAGTTGGGGGTCGTCTTATACGCCCAGTTGTCTTATACGCTGGAAAATACGGTACATTCTAATAAAAGGAGAGTACATTCTAACAAAAAGGCTTATTCTCAATCATGAAATATAGCAATGCAGTTTACCTTTTGGAGAGAAGAAGGGTTCTTCAGGGCCAGGATAGCTCACACAGTCATTGAGATAAGATGTATTCTGGATTGCATTAGCAACTCCTACAAGACAATGTTTTGGCATTACCCAAAGCAAGCAGTTCATCTAGGCAGCCCCAAAATATCAATGAGTTAAAGCAGTGTGTATAGAGAATAGATCAGAATACTTGCAAACTGATATGTGGGATGGATCAAGAGAAAAAACATTTGGCTAAAGTCGTTGCTACTAAAGGAAAAGCCACAAGTTACTAAATTTTACAAAGATCGTAACTGTTGGCTCAGTGTATTTAATAAAGCCAGTACACAGCACTCTCTTTTATATTATGTTTAACCATAATCTCTTCAAATAGGACTTCAGGGTAGTGTAGGGTGGTGTAGATCATTTTGAAGGTCACAGTACTCTAGAATTACAGATTGTAAGTAGTCCTTGGGTTACAACCCCTCATTCAAAGTTACAAAGGTGCTGAACAAGGGGGACTTACCAGCTGTCCAAGAAGTTGCAGCCATCACAACGTCCCATTATCACATAGTTGTGATCTGGGCATTTTGATGCCTGACTCATGATTATGACATTGCAGTGAGCCACAGTCATATGATCGCCATTTATGACCTTCCCTGCCAGCTTCCCACAACCACAGTTAATGGGAAAGCTGGCAAGGAAGGTTGCAGGTTGTTCTGGTAAGTCTCTCCTGCCGCTTTACTCCTCAGGGTGAAGAAAATAGAGTACATGAGCCCAGGGATTAGGAACTAGTTTTAAAAGTTTGAGAAATTCCAAACCTCATAGGTTGTCTCAAATTATGTGTTTAATAAATGTTCTTACCTGCAGTTAGTTTAGACAAGGTAATTCCAAATGACCGCATCATTCTTTCTTTCTTTCACTGACATTAGTGGGCTTTGTTTTTATGCAGTACTTGGATGAAGACCTGAAGGTAGCAGGAAAATACAAAGGAAATGATTACAGCCAATACTCTCCCTGGTCGTGTGACACTATTGGCTCCTACATTGGAACCAAAGATGCAAAACCCAAAGACATTGTGGCAGTGGGTCTTGTAGAGATGGTGGTAAGCATGTTGAAAAAAACCCAGCAAGGTACTCTTGGTAATTGGTAAGATGCCAGATGACCAGATTATACAAAGGTTTCCAACAGAGATTCTCCAGACATTTGTAGTTGATAATGGCAATAGCTGACAAGTTTAAGGATCAGTGCTAACACTGTACAGATAGTTCTCATTTAACAATGCTAATTGGGACTGGAAACTCAAGTCATTAAAGGACATGGTCATAAGTCAAAAAGCCACATGATTGCACCCTTTGGTGATTGTAGTTCTGGCAGTCCCAGTTGCCATTGTTAAACAAGAATTGTGTGGGTTGTTAAGCAAGGATCTCAAATGACTGTGATTTCCAACTTCCTGCTGGCTTCACCATTGACTTTGCTTGTTCCAGTCTTTCTCCTAATTGTCTGTCCGTAACTGAGTTAGAATTTATCTCTTCCCCCTCCTTGGTTATAATTTCATATATATAAAGTAAAATTGGGGAGAGGACTTTGAAAGCATGAAGTATGGATAAATTTTTCTCCAGCTCTGTTCCACTCATATAAAGTTATACATTATAAATTTTCCTCAAAGTCCATAAAGGCCTGGTAATACAATATTTTTCGAGAGAAGGGAATAATGTCCCATGGATAAAGCAATTTTTTTTATTGTACCTACCTCCAAAGGCCTTATACTACTAAATATTTAGCCTGTAAAGAATAGTCTGAACGCTGTTAATATTATTTGCTTACAAGTTTGAAACATTACTGTTGTGCAAGTCTCTCCAATCAGGCCCCCTCCCACCATACTTGTGAAATGGAAACATCTGAGATATATGTTGGCTAAAAAGGAGAAGCTTGTTTGTAATTCTGATCATTTAATCTGTCACTCCAGAATGTGGACAGCAAGGGAATGCGAGATCAACGTTTGGATTTACAAAGGAGAGCAGCAGAGACTGGTGATGATGATCTTATTCCCTTTGGAGATAGACCTACAGTTTCGAGGTTTGGTGCCATCTCACGTACCTCCAAAGCAATGTACCAGAATCCAGGCCCCATACAAGCCATGACAGTTCAAGGGGCTTCTGCAAAACCAGTCAGTGTTTCAGGTATAAAGATTTATTTTCCTGTTGTTGTTTTTTGTTTTGTTTTGTTTTGGTAGTAGCTTTGAATCAGTACTGTGGCTTGGTTAGAGAAATGGATCTAGACATAGGTTGGCAGGTGACATTAAAATCAAAAGAAAGCTGAAATAATACTAGCTCCCCATGAATAGGGGAATATAAGTAGTCCTCAATTTATAACTGATTGTTTAATGACTATTCAAAGTTAAAGCACTTCTGGCCACCATAAAAAGTCACTCTGCCCCCCCCCCCCATTATGTGACCCCCTCCTTTCAATGGGGAAGCTGGTGGGAAATTTGCAAGCAGAGGAGAAATACCTTAGTAGACTTCAGGAATGGACCTCAGGTCTTTAGAATTTGAGGTTAGTTCCTTCAGTGGACTGGGGGGTTTCTCCTCCTCACAAAGAAGGGAGGGGAACTCATTTGGTGGACTTCAGGAATAGACCTCAAATCTTAAAAGATTTGCTAGTTTCTTAGGGCTAGAAAGCTAGTGAACGCTATCATTCTGAAGGTCAGAAAGATTTCTAACCGTCAAGACAATTGCACTTCATAGTTTTCTACCCTAGGCTAGGAAGGGTAGAAAACACAATCATGCAATCATTTGGAAGGCCTCTTTTCCAAATTGTGCATTTTGGAGAAGGAACCTTTCCATGATTGCGAGAATGGGGCCCACTTGCAGGATGGCCTCAGAAGGATGGCTGCACCTTGAATTTGGCTGGTTGTGCCTGCAGCTGCAGAAAAAGACAAAGGTAAGTGGACCCAGGCATGGGGGGGGGCAGACCTCCCAGATGTGATGAGGCAGGGAAAGTGTCCTCTTCCTGGCACTCCACTTAATGCCCCCCCCAAAAAAAACCACTTAACCACAACTGGGAAAACCAAAATTGTGGTTGTTGAGTGAAGCAATCATGTAGGTACCTTGCTTAGTGATTCTTTTCACTCATTGACGAAGATTCCACTCCCAGTTGTGATTGTAAGCTGAGAACTACCTGTAGACTTTTGATTTTTGTCATAGCTCTACTGTATGAACAAAGTTTATATATTTTAATTAAAAGTAATGCTAGTACTCAGATATTGGTGGAAATCAACATAGAACAAGGTGTACGACAAGGTGATACAATGTCACCTATTCTTTTCCCAGCCTGCCTTGAAGAAATATTTCGCAAACTAGACTGGGCAAAAGATGGAATAAAAATCATTGGCACCTATTTAAATCACTTAAGTTTTGCAGATGATGTTGTTCTCTTCTTACAACACCCAGAAGAGCTACAAACACAGATACAAGAGCTGCACAAAGCAGGAGAACCATTTGGCTTAAAAATAAACCTGAAAAAGAGCCAGGTTATGTTTAATAAATTCACCAAAGCAAGAAAGTGTGTGTGTGTGTGTATAGAAGAATTAGACATAGTAGACCACTATATATACATTGGCCAACAAAGAATGAGAACAAAGAATGAACAAACAAATCAGACAACAGAACATAAATTAAATGAAAGTGACTTAAATAGAAAAGCTACAAATGAAGAAAACTACAATTTAATAAAAAAAAATCTGCAATACCTCACTATAATAAAGAAGACAAAAAAGATGCTTTATCCTCCAGGACTTCAGAACAAATTTGAGGATAAAAAAGAAGAACTAATAAAATTAGTTCTGTCAGAAGTGTCAGAAGAATCATTAAAACATTGGAGACAAAAAACTGATACTTTACTTGATTTGTCTTTTTTGTCCCAACAACACTTACAAAAATACAACCTGGCATGCCAAACTTACTGATTTGGAAAGTGACCTGGCAAAAGAAGATTAAAGTTGGAGTCAAGAGACGTGATTCAACCTATCAGATGGAATATTATATGACTAAACACTTGCTTGAATATGGTGTGTGTGTGTGTGTGTGTGTGTGTGTGTGTGTGTGTGTGTGTGTGTGTAAATAAAGAGGCCTTAGAGCAAGATTATTAGATGGTGTATTATAGGATTAAATATTGTTGAAATATGGCCAAAAGAATAGATAAAACTTGTAAAGGGGCCTTATAGTAAGAGGAATAAGATATATAAGTAGTATAATATTTTTAGAATATATGAAATGCTAAAACATTGAGAGGGTCTATTTAAATGAAAAGTTTGGATATTTAAAGGTAATGAATTTTGAGAAAATTATGACTGATAAGAGTGTTCTGAATTCTGAGGGGAAACTAAGCTTCAATAAGAATCTTGAAAACAAGACATAAGATGACTTTTATAAATACAATGGAAACACAAGCTGATTAAAAACATGTTATATGTTGATGTTATTATATGCATAAATACTAAAAAATGTTTATATTTGTAGCTCTACCTCCTCAGAGGCCGCCAATGCCCAGGCCCTCCCAGCCACGTCCCCCCTTGTCCAGCCTTGCAGCAATGTTCTTTAGAGATCGATGAGATGTCTTACAACCGGAGCTCACGCAACATTAATGGGTGGCAGGCTCTTCTTGTTGAAGCAGGACTTTCAGGCACGAACTTAACCAGTCTCCGTGGTTGATGCTCTGAA